CGCGGCGGGGCCGCTTGGTGCCAGAGGGGGAGGTCCCGGGCCAGGGGGCCAGGACGTGCGGGTGCGGGGGAGGGGGGAGCCCGCAGACAGGACACCTCGGGGAAGTTCAGGCCGCTGCCATCACCGCTGTCCCCAGGGCTGGCGCCGCCCCGTGCCCTGCTGAGCAAGCTCCTGGCCCTGGCCGGCTACCTGAGGAGCTGAGCCCCACCTCGTAAGAAAAGCCACCCGAGCAGCGATCCGGTCAGGCCCAGGCCGTCACCAAGTGCTAGGGAGGAAATCGTAAAACTTTGCAGGAGGAAGTTATAGGATCCTCTGCACTCAGGGAAGGTTTAATCCTGGCCCTGGAAATCCGAGTTGCAGTTATAAACCGGCAGGGTTTTCCACCCTCTGAACAATGGTGACGTGTTTATCCTGATCAGGTGGATAACCCTCCATATCTGTACAGACCTTGCTCTCTTGGCTCCATTGCTGCCATGAAAAAGTCACCCGAGAACTTCCAAAAAAGAAGTATTCCCCTGCCTCAGGGATTAAATTTGCCCCCTTTTGGTTTCATGACTCATGTTCCTGTGAAATAAGGAAGGCCTAATAGGGGTTCCTGATTGTTTTGCTAGAGACTTCTAATTTTGCTTTATAGCTGCATAAGGGAGGCTACCAGGAGATGGTAGTCACTGTCACCCCAAGGCAACCGGACTTTGAATTTTTTTTCCCCCAATAGGGGTTCCCATCCCACCTTTTCAGTGCCATTAGTTATTTTCAATATTTTTCTCCTGTCTCCTCTTCTTCCACTATCCAGGTGTTTCCTCTACCCAGACTTCCTTCCCAGTCCAGCCCAACTGAAAGCATCCCTTTCAAACCCCTGGAGGCAAAGACGTTTCTGAAGCAGATTTCACTCTGAGCTGGACCTACAAATGCTATCCCTCCCAAAAGAGACAGGAGTCCAGAAGAGCAGATGTTTCAGTGTTCCCACCTAGGCCCAATTTCCATCCGCACACATTTGATGCTTGCATTTTGTCTCCTGGTTGCTTGTAGCCACATCCAGATGGCCCATCTTAGCACACAACCTTCACACTTGCAGACTCACACTTCACAGTGTGAGCCTATTTCTGAAAGCTGAGGTCCCACAGATTCTTCCCCCCTCCCCCTCCTTTTGGAAATCCCTACCTTAGCCAGAGAAAACAACTTTAATAAGACGCCTTCTTTGACCAGAGATCCAAGGGAAACAAAAATCAATAAGCCAGTAACCTCCCACCCCCCACAAACAATCCATCCAAAACAAATCATCTGCCTTTCATCTCCCAACACAGGGCTGCTTCCAAAAAAGCAGCATTTTAATTGTGTTCCCCAGCCCCCTTTAAAACTCAACCACGTCTGGGATCAAGACAAAGTTAGCTCATTTCCTCCAGGCAGGCCAATCTGATTCCCGTTCAAACATTTCTCTGCTGCTGGAGCCCACCCCTTCCTTTTCATGTCTTCTCCCTCTTTGCAAGTCACAGCGGTCAGTGTCATCGCTTAGCAGTTTAATAAACCACAGCTTCTAGCTCTTCTTATCTTCAGGTCTGACAGCTTGAGCAATCTTTGTGTGTTAGCTTCTCCCCCCCGCCTATCTGATCACTGCTGGGATGTCTGGAGCCTGCTGTAAGCCCCTGTTATAGTCAGGATCCCAGAAAAAAGCTCAAGACTGAGCCAACCATGACAGAAACAGGACCTCCAGGCTCTTTTCTCTGTGAAAAGACAAGGGAGATGCTCATGTGCCAGTTACACCTGAGCTGGCAGGCAGCTCAGCAGGACCATCCCCTGCCTTCTGCTCCCATTAGGCAGAAGTAGGACTGGGGTGGGGTCTAGCTATGTATTGCAGAAGGAGCTGGCCATTGAGGCTAAAACCACACTAGAAATTGTTGTACCTTGTATAAGTGATGCATCTGATCTTCATGACATGGGGAAATATGCTTGGACCACACTATTACTGACACCATTGCTAGCAGCAGGGATGGGCAAAGTTGTCTGGTACAGGCAAGATAGAGCTTGCTGAAGCAGAAGCAGATACATGCATGCTTCTCTTAAAGGGCACTTGCCTGTGAAGATGCAGAATCTGTAGCAGGCCCCAGGAGAGCTCTCTCCCACGTGTGGATGTGACTGCTGCTTCATTCAGCCAGCTCAGCTCTGCAGCTGGTGTGGCAGCCACCTCCATATATGGGCATGGGGAGATGTATGTCTTCTTGCATATTTCTTGTTCCCTGGCAGGCCAGGGAGTGTGCCAAGCCGGGAGTCAGAGCTCCCTGGGAGCTACAGAGAAAATTTTGGTTTCTGAGTTACACTCAGAATCCAGGGCAACAAGGATGAGCTGGCTGGATTGTGAAAGGATTGCATGTTATTACGTGGGTTACATCTTTTAAGATATTTGAGGGAACTCAAAGTCTCTGGACTAAATTCTGCACTGATTTATACTGCATGCAAGCCCCTTGCAAAAACTGCCATCATAGAGCAAAAGCCCCCACAGAGCTGTGGCTTTTGTGTTACCCTGCCTTCTGTGATACTGTGTACCAGTATAGAGGTACAGAGAAAATAGCCTCCGGCACGGAAGATTAGTGCACAAATGTTATATCTTAAAAAACAAAAACAGAAAAAGAACACAACTCCCCCAGCCTTCAGACAAACAAACATCCACTAGATGGCCATTTTTTGAAGGTAAACTTCCAAATCTAAAAGGTGTTACCTTAAAAACAAATCTCCATTTTTTAAACCTGCCTTTGGGCCCAGCTTTCCTCCTCCAGACATCTGTGCAAAACTCCCATCAATGACAAAAGCAGCAAGATTAGGTTGTTTCTCAATGTAGCATTCTGTAATTTTACCTGTCAAAAATAAGCTTCCTCATTTCCCCCTTAAATGAACTGGATAATAATTAAAGCCCTGTCAGATGCAGAATACTGTCCTATTGTTAGTAGTGTATTGTGTAAACTCAACACACATATTTTAACATACGTATCTTGCACACACAATCATACTAATTTTGTAAGAAATGGGTTTGGTTCATTTCTAATGTAGAAATAAACTCAGTAATCTTGATTCTGCTTTCACTTACCCTGCATCAAACTGGGGCTAGTTCATTATACTTATTCCTGATTTACACTGATGTAAGCAAGAGTGTAAAGGCCCATCTGTTCGTTTAGATAGCAATGCTTGCCTACTCAGTAGTTGTGCTCTAAATTAATGTTTGAAAAGCATGCTTAAATCTTTGGAAAGAGTATATTTTAAGCATTATGATAAAGCTGATTGAAAGAACATATGTTGCAGTTCAACACTATTGTATTACTAATGCAAATTGAGTAGGGTACTGCAGAAGTAGAATTATGGTACAGTACTTTTATATTGTGTTCTTATTTTCCACCTGAATGTACAGCATAGAGTAATAGAGCATTGGGGGATTTTTAATTATGTATGGTAAAGCAAAGATCTGTTTAAATAGACGGCATCTCCTACAATACCTCATGAATATAAATGCAAAAAGGAGAAAAAAAGCCACATGGCTTTTTGGTTTCTGTTTGCTTGAGAACGTCATTATTGTGTTTCATTTACACATCCTGATGAGCTGTTGCAGTTCTTGCTTTCTTGTGGCACTAATAAAAATAGAGCCTATAACTGACTGCTCTTTCTGGAGTATCACTAAGATATACTCTGTGTAACCCATAATTGAAACACATCAGCTCCTGAAATGACAAAACCCTGCACTAATTTTCTTTAGATTGAAGACAGAAATAATTAATTATGCCTTGGAATGACTCGGTCATCTTACCGTTGGACATGGCATCTCAAGGAGCAATGCTTTCACTGAAACAAGAAAACATTTGCTTATTATAGCAAAAATGGTGAGTCTAGGAGCAGTATTAAGTTGGGAGAACTTGTTTCGTACTTGTCACAGATAAAATGAACATTTATAAAAATAAAATTGGAATTACTTGAAAGTGGGTTTAATTCAGGAAAACGCTGTCATTTGTCTATAGGGTTCTTTTCCATCTCACTGAGTGAGGCATTTATTGCTTGGTATGTTTATACTCCAGGCACTGGCAAAGAAACCCTGGCCTATGAGTTTTGCTACTGAGTTTGGCAAGGCTAGGATTTCACCTTGGGATAGGTGTGGGGGAACAGAGTCTAACGCAGACTACTAACTTGTCACAGAAGCAGCTAAGATAAAAGAAGAGAATGCAAACCCCAAAAATTCAGATCAAGTTTTTTATTTCAAGCCCATCTCAGTTACTGCTGTGTCACCAAACTTAATGTTCAGATATGGGAACCCCACCAAAATTATCATCCTGTATTTGGATGCTTAGTTTGGCACGTAACTACACGGTTGACAGGAGTAAATTCTGAGATGAGCATTACAGCACAACTTATGTAGAGTTTAGATTATAGTTTGCATGGGATGTTTTGGATAGGAATGATCCTTGGGAGATCCTTTTCAGCCCTATTTCTCTATGATTTTATGATTTAAACATCTCTACTTATCCACGTTTCAGATTCAGACACGTTTAAAATGTCTGTCATCATTACGATTCTTTGACCTCTTGTATTTTAACTTGAGTATCCCCTCTGCAATTAGCTCATTTCTTTATAGCACTGGGAGCCAACCTTTTTGACAGGCATGTCACAGATTAGCCCTGCAACCTCTCAGCACCACAGCAATCCTCTCCTCCTCCCCAGTCTGCTGCTCTGCTTCTGCTCCCTGTCTTGTGGTGTGTGTCCTCTGCCCAATCTGTTGCTTGGCTTTCTGCTTCTGCCCTGTGTTGCCTGCCTGATCTGCTTCTCTGCTTTTTCCTCCTGGTATGATGTGCCAATGTACTGCCTGGCCCCTCCCTGATATGCCATATGCTACTGTAACCCCCTCTCCAATTGAAGGGATCAAAGCAGGTGCACAAGCGCTGTCGGAGGTGTAGGGACTCTCCTCCCCCTGTAG